AACTCTCTTAAAAGTCATGAAATCACCTCAAACTATTGAACTTCTTCAGTCTCGTCCACCGTCAAATGGCCTCCATCGTGGGATATATTCTTCATCTGACATGCATCTCTCGAGTGTTTGTATTATCGAATGAAGTTCTCAATCTTTGAGAAGCTCAAAACCTGGTCTATTTTTTTTAATTTTCTTTCCTGATTAATTGAATGACTCCATAGTGGCCTTTTGAAATTGGGTGATCCGTTTATAATCTTACTAATCATTGAATGAGTTATGGTGTAACTTGTCCGATAAAAATATTAAAAATATTTTAAAAAAAGTAATCCGAAATTAATTTTTGTACAAATAATTTTAAATTTAAATTATAGTGACCAAATTGAATTAAATTTGGTTCCAATTTATCATGTTAATTAATTTGTAATCCAAAAAGAAAATTATTATTAATTTATCATAATTCTGACGGCCGTCGACCTCTTTATTACCATAGAATGGCATTTTCGTAATTATTCGAAAGTCGGTTCCTTATTTTAGAATATGAATCTCACTTCAGTTTCTCAGTTAAGCTTAAGCTAAGCTATGCTCTCTTTGCGGTTTTTCTTCATTGTTTCTTCTCTCTCTCTCTAAAACTCGCCTGAAAATTGCAAAAACGTTGCCGTTTTCACTTTCAGGCTTCCTATTGACTGCAAAACCGTTACTGGTTTTCCGTTAATCGGATTACATTATCCCCCTCCCAATGCATTTGCCTTGAGAGGAAGATAATGGGTTGCGTCTTCGGAAAGCAATCACAGGCACCGTCATCTGATCGCCGGAACCGGAGCAACACCGTTGAATCATCACATCCTCCACGTACTCGTCTTCGCCGGAGCTCCGGTGAGACATCCACGGACGTTTCAGTCAATGAAGCCGTGGATGTCAAACAGCGGGAGAGACAGAGACCGCAAAAGCAGAAGGCTAGACATAGTCGCGATTTCCCGGTGACCATTCCTGCTCCGGAAAGACGGCGGACGTCTTCAGACCTGAACCAGCAAGGGTGGCCGTCGTGGTTGATGGCTGTAGCCGGTGAAGCCATCCGTGAATGGACCCCAAGACGCGCCAACACCTTTGAGAAACTTGACAAGGTATATCCATTTCTGTTTGTCTTTTTAGGCTTAATTGAAAGCTTCCTTTGCTATAAACATCTTTAACGATTATGGGTTTTATTTTTTTTCAGATTGGGCAAGGGACTTACAGCAATGTATACAAAGCCAGGGATCTACTAACAGGTAAAATAGTGGCATTAAAGAAGGTAAGATTTGATAATTTGGAACCAGAAAGTGTGAAGTTTATGGCTAGGGAAATTCTTGTATTAAGGAAGCTCGATCATCCTAATGTAATCAAACTTGAAGGCTTAGTTACTTCAAGAATGTCTTCTAGTCTTTACTTGGTGTTCGAATACATGGAGCATGATCTTGCTGGCCTTGCTGCCTGCCATGGAATTAAGTTCACTGAGCCTCAGGTACACCATTCTTTCATCAAATGGCTTCTTAATTATTGCTGGGTTTCACCATTAATATTTGATTACTTTTCTTGGGTTCTTTCCATATTTTGCTCTTGCTTGTCCATTTGAGATTTTATGATCTATATATGTATATATATGTATGTATGTATGTATGTATGTATGTATATGTATGATTCTTGTACCTTTTTTTGTTTGTGTTGGATGTGGCATTTGATGTTGCTCTCAACTATTTTCGCTTGCTACTTGGGTCCCATAGCTAATGGTTTTGTACTGTTTTTGAGTATGCGAATTCATGGAAATTTCCTGCTTCACATCAATTTTTGGAGTTGTTTTCCACAGTTTCTTGATGGAATGAATGTAATATAACATGACAAAAAGGGGAAAGGATCCTGTTTTTTCCAACAGTTAAATAGTAAATTAGCTTAGTTATGTTTCGGTTACCGGAAACAGAATGAGCTGCTATAGTTATAAACATTCACTGCCATTTTAACACTCTGTTCCTTGGAAGCTAATAGGAAATGATGACCGTTTCTTTAAGTTATCTGCAAATGAACTCGAGGTTTTTAAGATATTTATGACAATGATTCTCTTCATAGGAGGTTGCAGTTGTGATCAAGACATCCCTCCAACCTGGTGATTTGCCACCTTTTTAAAGACAAATTCACCGGAAATAAATATTTCATATAAGCTTATAGTTGTTTGTTGTTTTTTTTTTCGAATGTTGGTTTGTGGCTGAAATTCGATAATTGTTGCTGAATGTGTAAAAGTGCTGAGAAATGGCAGTAGGTTGTAATGTTGGTGCTATATGTGAAGGTATTTCTACTTTTCTTGGAGAGGCTAGAAACAGTTAGGCCCTAATAATGATCATCTCAAATTAAATGCTTAACTTGCAGGTAAAATTGAGGTTATTTATATATTCTCATGCAAGGCTGGTTCAGGCTTTTGATATTCGGAATTTACATTTGTCGGTGTTTGGCTAACGGAGTTTGCATTGCAGAAGAGGTGAAATTTAGATGATTGCTTTGTTTTTGATGTTTCTTCCTTCTGGCTGGCAGGTAAAGTGCTATATGAAGCAATTACTTTCCGGGCTAGAGCATTGCCACAAACAAGGTGTTTTGCATCGTGATATCAAGGGTTCTAATCTCCTTATCGACAATGAAGGAATTCTAAAAATTGCTGATTTCGGACTGGCTACCTTTTACGACCCTGAACAGAAGAGACCCTTGACTAGTCGAGTTGTTACACTCTGGTATCGTCCACCGGAACTACTTCTTGGGGCAACTTATTACAGTGTTGGGGTTGACCTCTGGAGTGCCGGTTGCATTTTGGCTGAGCTACTTTCGGGGAAGCCGATAATGCCAGGAAGGACAGAGGTACAAACTTTTCTGTCTCTTTTGTCAATCTGCTCTTACAATCTGTTATCAGATTTTTCATCTTTAGTAAATCTATCAGGAACCAGTGTTTTCGAGTCAAATGAATGTGAACTGTGGTTTAAATAAGTAATTATTTTCGATCTGTAACATCGGATTTTTTTTCCTCCTGCTTTAGGTTGAGCAACTGCATAAGATATTTAAGTTATGTGGATCCCCTTCTGAGCAATATTGGAAGAAATCCAAATTGCCAAATGCAACTCTCTTTAAGCCACAGAAACCATATAAACGCTGTATAGCGGAAACTTTCAAGGATTTCCCATCGTCTTCTTTACCTCTCATCGAAACACTTCTTTCAATAGACCCCGAAGAACGAAGTACTGCCACTGCAGCTCTTAACAGAGAAGTGAGTTGTATCAGCTTTGTAAATGCAACTCTCGGGAAAAAGAATCAATAATCGTGTGTTACCTATAATCCAAGGACTTGCGTGATCTATACCCTTTGAATAATCAAATATTCAGTGTTGGATACTCGACATTCCGTTCTCACTTCTCACCATCACTTGCTGCATTATCTATACATTGGTTTGTGAAATACTTAATTTCCTGTTTGCAGTTCTTTACCTCTGAACCATATGCTTGTGAGCCATCGAGTTTACCAAAATATCCACCCAGTAAAGAAATGGATGTAAGATTGAGAGACGAGCAAGCGCGAAGGTTGGCTGGCTTTCTTTTTTCTTTTTGCAGTTCGGCTGTATTCTGGCAACTAATATTAATTTTTCCATTCAGGCAACAAGGTCTAGCTGGCAAGGTTAATGCAGTTGATGTTGCAAGGAAAACTCGAGTTAGCGAACGTGCTAGCCGGGCGGTTCCTGCCCCCGAAGCAAATGCTGAAATTCAAGCAAACCTGGATGTAAGTGGGGGACTTTTCTCTTGTTCTAATTCGTGTCTCTTTAATCCAGAAATGAGGACTCTACTTGGCAAATGCAATTGTTTTCGGGATTTTCTCGCAAACGAAATTTCCAAGCTGCTGCATAATATTTGCTCAAACTTTAATGCTTGGTTTTATTAGTTAAGCTCGAACTTCGGATTTTGATGTCGATACTTGCGATTTCTTTTATGGTTTTCCAGAAATGGAGAGTGATGACACAAACAAATGCCAAGAGCAAGAGTGAGAAATTCCCACCTCCCCATCAAGATGGAGCCGTGGGGCATCCATTAGATGCATCACACAAAGGGCCTCTATCATTCGCTACGACCGACACTTCTTTCACCTCATCGGTTTTCAACTCCAAGTTATCCGAATCCGCTAAAAATCCCGGACCTGCCGACGGCCCTTCCAGGAGGAGGAAAACCAATAAAGACCCTCAGAGGGCTCCGTCTCGAAAGTTCATTCGCGGTTTCAAACCGTCCTCGATAGGCCTATCGATGGATTTTCTATTCCGGGGTAAGTCCGAGGTCCTTCGTAGCCAGAATTAGAATTAGTGTTCCAAGTTTATAAACCTTTGGTTTTTAAGGAACTTGAAAATGTAGTTTTCCCATCCCTTAATTGTATCTGATGATATAAGTATCTGGTGTATAATCCACGCCAAGATCCCAAATCATTTGGTGTATAATCTGCCGATGCAATCCCACTTTTTGTTGTACAGTCTCTCAACAAGCACAATTTAGTCATGCAGTTTTTTAATGTATAATTTTGAGGTTTATTCCTTCATTTTGCCTGCATGAATCAAAATTAAATATAGGTAAAAATATTATTCCTTCCGTAATGATATTTTTCGTGAATCAAACGTCTCCTTAATGTAAATAAGTTACAATCGGGGTAAAACATTGGAAAGAAAAAAATTAAATAAAAACAAAAAAGAAAATGGGTTAATTCAATTGATAAGCAATTTGATATCGTTTAATCATATTTTGAGTTTAAATCCTTGTATATGCAGAAAATTATTGCTGACATACTCACCCACCAAGATTTGGTGAGCGATACGGGTCGATTCGAATTAGAATTAGTTAGGGTAAAACTCTAAAATCGGAAGAGCAACCAAAAAACACGAGTTTGTTTGTTTAATCAGTTATTGTCCAAATCATATTCTACCCCCATGATTTGAGCCTATATATAAATTAGTTGTAGTAGTAGAAATGGCTCTCCATCATCCATGGATATTTGTCTCTGGCATTCTAGGTATATTTGAATTTCCTCATCTCTTCCTTCATGGATATGATACATACATGCACACACACATACATACATGCATGCTCATACATACATGCATGCTCATGCATACATATAACTAACATCTATTTTCATTTTTGAAATCCCAACAATGATGATGAATATTTGTATAGGTAACATCCTCTCTTGCATGGTGTACCTAGCTCCTTTGTAGGTGTTTTTTTCTCCCATTTTTTAGAAAAGATTTTGTTATTTTTGTATATGTATATAACATGTGAATCGATGGATTGCAGGCCGACGTTTGTTCATGTGTATAGGAAGAAATCGACGGAAGGGTTCGAATCGCTTTCCTGCGTCGTTGCCCTGGTGAGCGTCGTGCTCTGGATCTATTAGGCCATGCTTAAATCCGAGGCTTACTTCTGTTGACCATCAACTCCATCGGCTGCGCCGTGGAAACCGTCTACATCGTCGTGTTCCTCGTTTACGCTCCGAAGAAATCTCAGGTATGTACATATTTACACTGTTCATATAAAATTATCGATATCTGATTCACTAACTAACGACGTATAAGAATAAATGCAGATCTTGACATTGAAGTTGTTAGTGGTATTCAACATGGGAGCCCTAGTTTTGGTGCTCACTACACATTTCTTTGCCAAAGGGAGAGGCCGAATCCATGTGATAGGATGGTCTTGTGTGGTGACATCGGCGGCTGTTTTTGCAGCTCCTTTGAGCATAATGGTATCATTTATTTAATTAATTATTAAAATGTACGTATGTACGTACGTACGTACGTACGTATGTATGTACGTACATACGTACGTACGTACGTATATGTATGTATGTATGTACGTATGTACGTATGTACGTACGTATGTATGTACGTATGTATGTATGTACGTACGTATGTATGTATGTACGTACGTATGTATGTATGTACGTACGTATGTATGTACGTACGTATGTATGTATGTACGTACGTATGTATGTACGTACGTATGTACGTATGTACGTATGTACGTAGGTATGTATGTACGTACGTATGTATGTATGTATGTATGTATGTATGTATGTATGTATGTATGTATGTATGTATGTATGTATGTATGTATGTATGTATGTATGTATGTATGTATGTATGTATGTATGTATGTATGTATGTATGTATGTATGTATGTATGTATGTATGTATGTATGTATGTATGTATGTATGTATGTATGTATGTATGTATGTATGTATGTATGTATGTATGTATGTATGTATGTATGTATGTATTTGTATTAACTTTATTTGTTAATTCTTAGTATTTTGATTTTGGCTAGAGGTTGGTGATAAACACCAAAAGCGTGGAGTTAATGCCATTCACTTTATCATTGTTTCTCGCCTTCAGTGCCATCATGTGGTTCGTTTATGGCCTCATCCTTAAAGACTTCTATATCTCTGTGAGTATTTTTAACAATATACATAATGCTAGGTTAAATTGTTGTTCTAGTCCCTGTACTATATTCCACTTGAAGATTCAATCTCTTCACCTTAATGACATAATGTCAAAAATACCCTTAATATTTAACTGAATAATCATTTTGGTATCTATTTTCTTTTTCTAGCAAATTTAAATTTCATTAATGAAAACCCAAAATAAGCTACCCAACGGCACATAAATAGCAACTGTCAAAAGCTACCTGATAAGCTAAACGAGAAAAAGCAAACCATACCCCATTCATCGGCTTGCTCGAGATGACTCCCAGAGAATACACTATCAAAGACAGACTTACTCAGTCCCACCGGGCTTTACCTCATCAATTTCGACATGTGACATATGTCATGTCATCACTATTTTGACATGTGGCATGTGGTATATCATCATTTTGACGTGTGACAAAATGATCCGTGTTTTTGCACTTTGGTCATGTGTAGTGACATTTTATTTTTTTTAAGTTTCGTGAACTGATTTTGTATTTTTTTCCTTTTTATTTTAACAAGTTGTTTTAGGCTTAAATAAATTAGAAAATTTCCTTTTAGTCCCTGTAACTTCTGGCGTGTTTTGTATTTTACTCCCTAATTCATTTATTTTTATTTTGTTTCGATTTAGACTTCGAAGTTTTTTTGTTTTAATTTAATCCTTTATTATATGTTTCATTTATTTGGTTTTGAGCTTGCAATTAGGTCCTTGTGTTTATGTTTTTTTTTACTTTTTATTTATTTATTTGTTATTTTAATTATTTTAATTAAGTTTATTATTAATTGTTTTGTTTCATAGTTTAAATTCTTAAATTTAATTTTAAATTAGATTAACACTCGAATTGAACCTAGAAATTAGGATGGCACTATAGTTTAATTAGAGAGCAATTCGAGTCGAGCTTTTGCATAAGATGTTCGATTACTCGAATCGATTGCTCGACTTTTAAAATTTATTAATAAATAATATTTTCTAAAAAATACTTTAGGTTTAATAATTTATATAATACTTAAAATTTTGGTTTATTAATTAGTCCTCAACCTTTGGAATTTATTGATTTAGGTCCCTAAACTTTTAAATCTTTTAGAAATCGATACTTTTAGATCTTGTCCTTTTAGTCCCCAAACTCCGATTAGTATTTTAATTTTGACATAATTAAATAGAGCCTCCATTTTAGATTAGATTTCAAACTAGTCTTTTAATTTAGGGGATAATTCGAGTAGGCCCTCGCGTAAATGCTCGAGGGCCATCTCGGTTATTCGATTCAATAATTGAGTAAAAATCAAATAAGGTTAATATTAGAACCTACACTTCTAGGTTTGTGCCTTTAAGTCCTTTAATTTTCATAATTTGACACCTTAAGCTAGAAAAAGCCTTTAATTTACCTTAGCTTAATTAGGATTAAATAAAAAAAATTTGATCGCATTCTATTTTCAAACCCAAAACAATGTTCACGTATTAGGGAATTAATGGTACATCTCCCGCAAGTTTGTTCAAGGGGTGACTACTGGTGATTCCCGAAATAGGTCAACATCCTTTTCAGAGACCGCATCATGCTTTTCTAAAAACGAGGCAATATTCAGTTATTAGACACAATAGTTAACCTCCCACATTTACGCTTGGGAGTGAATGTTATTGGTCCCAATAAAATAATATCATTTTCAACTTTGCATCCGTAATGATTTTCAAATTAAATAAAGATCGAACTCAAAATTTTCGATTTTAAATATAGGGTAATCAATCAGATATCAATTTTTGGGCGCTTGTTGGGATGCTAATCCTTCCCCACTCGTAACTGACTCTTGAACATGATTTCTGGATTTTTGCAGACCCTAAAACTCAGTGTTTTGATAAAAAAAATATTTTATTAAAATCACCCAATTTTTATGGTGTCCCAATTGTACCTTAAATGATTAGTGGCGACTCCTCACCTTTTGAAAGATTCCTATCAAAGAGAAAACCCCCGAGTCGGTATCGGTCTTTCCTCGCCCGAGAAAAAAACGGTGTCGACACATGCTCACTAGGCTTGGGTAAGGCGTACTTAGTCACAGAGAAGACCAGAAGCGTCTAAGGCCGCATGTCCCGTCAGACCTTAACTCTGATATTGCGACAATTTGGGCTTGAAGATTCTGAAGGTATGAAAAATCCATGAGAACCAAAAGAAAGCGCCATACCAGAGCCGTCTCGAATATTTTCGGGATCCTGAGCAAAAAAAATATAGGCCCTGATTGAAGGAAAATATACTCCATTACTTTAAACAATTAATTTAATATCGTAGAAAAATTATTAAACTTTTTTTAATATTAATTTCATTGTTTTGTTAAGAAAACATCTTAAATACAACTAAGAGAACAAAAAAATCAAACGTGGATATAAATTATGATATGGAGTTTTATTATTAATAATAAATTAAAAATAAAGAATAACATATTATGTTATCGTTAGAATAACAAATATAATTAGATTTAATTCAAAATTAAATGAATTCAAAAGTAAATGAATTAACTAGAGAGATGGAGAAAGGGATGAGAAATTGAAAATTTTATGAAATTGTAAAAAATTAGAAGCTTTAATTATAAATGTAGAAATTGAGATTGAAAAAAATATGGGCCTCACTTATAAAGGTATAATTGAGATCGAAAATTCTTAGGGGCCTCAATTACAAAGGTATAATTGAGATCAAAAACTCTCTGACGGAGATAAGAGTAAATACGAGATTGTCTATTTCTTGGGGAGCATAACCCCTTTATATAGTTGATTTTAGAATCAGCTATTGTCTACTTATAACTCTGTCCCTCATCGAATTATAAATACAACTCTAATAGTATCTACACTTCTATTACCGTGACACTTCTAATATCTTACGAATTTATAACATAATTGCTCGTTTAATTTATGTCATATTTTATGATAACAATACACATTATAAATATGTGCTCATAATTATGGATTTTAATCCAATAATTTAATTTTCTATTCAACTTTTATAATATTACAGTTCATATATATTCATAATTAATGTTAAATAATATTTTTTTAAAAATTAATTAAAATTATTTTAAATAGTTAAACAAAAATTTCAAGGCAACTTGACCTTTTAACTAAGAAATACAAAATTTATACACAAGAAATGAACGAGAAGAAGCATGGACGAACATATGATTTTATTTTAAGGAACGAATTTATAAAATTTTAGAGATTAACAAATATATAAAATTTTAGAAATATGGAAGGAAGTTATCAATAAAAATTAAAAAATTAATTTTTTTTAATTTTTTTAAAGAAAACGATTAGTCTTATCTACTCCTCTCGATCCATCCATCTAAGTTTAAGATTCCCCTACTAAAATGTGAAACCCAATGAAGAATGAGTTGTAAACCTTTTGTAGACACCTGTTTTGTCCGGGGATTATTATTATTATTATTTATTTTTAAATTATATTTATATTATTAGTTTTTTCATATTGCAGGCCCAATTACAAGCCCAATTTAGGAGCCAATTACACAGGTTCATTCTACCTAAATCCTAAAACCAAAACAATTAGGGTTAAAACCCTAGCTTTCCAAGTTTCACCCGTCGTCGCTGCTCACGTTGTTGCCACCTTAGCCGAACCATCCCTGTTCAATTAGTAGTCAACCAAATAAAAAATCAAATAAAAATTCAAGATCTCCACTAACCGAATCATTCCTGGTTTCTTGCTTCCAATCTTCACCAAACACGCCACCATTTTTTAAGAGTGTAGTAGAGACCATAAAGATGGAAGAAGGTTCGGTTTTTTGGGTGGGAAGATTCGGTGAGGGAGAAAGAAAAAAAGAGGAGATTAAATTTGAACCATATATAAAAAAGAGAGGAAAAGAGGGGGTTTCGGTTTTGAACAAAAACAAGAAAAATGGAGGATTCGATTTTCAAAAAAATTGGAGAAACATCAAAGAAAAAAATCAAGAAAAATTCGAGGAAAGAAAAAAAGAAAAGAAAACAATTGAAGAAAAAGATGAATGAAGAGAAGACTAATTGCGCTCGTGATTCATCTGGGAGAAGAAAGGTCGTCGAAGTTGGAAATATGAAAAACTTCGCATCTAGATCTACGTCGATCAAGAAATATTATTTCAAGGGGTCTTAAATTAAATTAAACTCAAATTCATAAATTTCATTGTAAAGAAAACTATTTCATCGACTGGGTACCAAATTAGGGCTTTGTGGGGTGCTAGCCTTCTCCTCGCGTGAGAGGTCGATTCTTCTCGATAGGAAATAATTAAGTATTATTGTGTTTCATCCTAAAATTCAAGAAATACTATTTCAAGGGATCTTAAATTAAATTAAACTCGATTTCGTAAATTTCATTGCAAAGACAACTAATTAATCGACTAGGTACTGATTTAGAGCGTTGTGGGGGTGTTAATCATTCCCCTTGCGTAACCGACTCCCGAACTCAAATTTTGGTAACACAGACTGTAAATTTGTTGTTTTAATTAAAATTAATATTTTTATTAAAATGATAAATAAATTTTTTTGGGTGCCCAATCACACCCTAATCAAATATTGGTGGCGATTCCCCGAATCATGTTTTATTATTGAAAAGTCACCAAATTATTCGAGACAATATCTTTTAAAAATTAAATTTATTTTTTAAAGAAAAATTGTTTCGACACCTTTAAACCACTTGGTGGACGACACATCATAAAGTGACGTAGTGGGACCAATTTATTAATAAATTTGTTTAATTAGTACTAATGCATATATATAGCTTAGGGAAGTTAATGACAAAAATTACTAGCACATCTGTAGCTCACTAAATGCCATTAACGAATTGTTCTTGTTTTATTCCGTTTATTATCTTAAAATTTAAGATTTAATTTTTATTTTAATCGTATATAAGTTTTTTATTAAGTTAAGGTGATTATAAAGTATTATCTATTCTAAACAGTCTCAACCAGACAATGAACGCTCAATCACCCTGCTATAGCCGCTGGTGCTTGAACCCGTGACTTCTAGAAACAACAACGATTACAATTTATTTTTTTAAATTTTTTTAATAGTGATTAATTAGTAGTATCAAATTGATAAGTAGATTTGTTATTGTTATTAAACTGATGATGTGAACCTTTTTCAATGCTATTTAATCATATAGTTAGGGTCATGTGAGTATTTAGGTAATCA